CCCCAAAACCCCAAAACCCCTTAATACTTAATTTGATTGAAATAAAACATTTCATAAATAAAAATAATAAGTTCCAGTAATTATAAATTGATTAAATTAATTGTCTGTTTTAATGCATAGTCCAGATAGAGATCATAGTAGACTTGATACTAGTTAAGGAATTGGTGATTACAGCAGTAGGTAATATAAATTTTTTCAGTTCATTTGTATTTAGTCGTAATTACATCACTGAGAGAGGCCCTGCTATTCAAACTTAAGATGAAATAAGCAAAGATATTTTGCCTAAATAAGAAATTTTTAGAGAATTCAGAAAGCAATTTAAAAGATGTGATGCATTAGAATACACATCTAAAGAGTATATTAGAGCGATAATCGAGTCAAGTATTTTCATGGTTTTAGCAGGCACTGCTTGTGGATTATGGATTTATTATGGTGATAATAAGAAGGATGCTACAAATTATAGGGAATAGGATTTTATCTGCGATACACCAATTTCTTATTGGCTAATCATCATGGGAATTAGCTATGGCTTTAATTTTATTCATTATCTCACTACATTGATCATACTGCTTACAAAGAAATTAAGATCTAAGCTAACTGTCATCATATTGAGTTTATTTCACTTTTATTCAGTAGTGCTATTCTAAATCGCTTGGCTATCTTATGGTAATATATATCACTATAGAGATAATAGTATGAGATGTATCTATGCAAATGAAGATTATCGAGTAATGTGGATTCTTTAAATGATTTCAATTGCTTTTGGATATGGTAACTTCGCTGAAGTCGGAGCGATGTTTATTAGCGGCTGTGTTGCATTAATCATATACATTTTCACTAAAAGAATGCCAGAATTCGTGGATAAAATCCCTCATGTCTTAGCAATAAAATCTCTAAAATACTTAAGAGGCTAATGGAGTATCTAGTGTGCGATTTGCTTATCAGACTTTAAGAATGAAGAAATGGTTACTTAACTAAATTGCAATGATAAGCATTATTATCACTCAATGTGCATAAAATCTTGGGTCAACAAAAGAGAACACTGCCCTCTATGCAGCCAGCTAGTTGACTCAAACTAGATATGACTTAAGATTCCCAATATTTTGCTATTTTTAAAGCTAGTATTTATAAGGCTGAATATTTTTAAAATCCTAGTAGAAATAAACTTTGTAACGTATAAATTTTATTTAAAGCTTTAATTTCTGTCAATATAGCAAGCTTGGGGTTTTGGGGTACTCAGTGACCTTGAAGTCTGGGC